TAAACTTGTTTGTGTCTAATGACTTGCCAAAAACCCACATGTACGTACGCTTTACTGCGTCCACGTGTTATAATATGGATGAGCGATATGGTTAATATTTCCCACTTTTGTGATATAATATCAATAAATATCCACTTATATATTCTAACAAATGAGTTATACCATGTGACATACTCTCATACTACGTACACTATAATTACTCGCACTTAAAGTATCCACAATGGGGTCCCTAAACCACTTCCTTAGACAAATTTTAGGAAGGAATTGGAAAAATACAACTCCAACCATGCTCCCTATTCACCTCCTAAAATAAAGAGACATCTAGGAACTCCTAAATCTGAGGAGAGAGAAAGGACTCCTAGTGGCTCCTTATAATTTAATGTTGTTTCGTTAAACTTTTAATTAATACAAACTATTTTCTTATAGAGATGATAACCAATCATATTGAATTAAAAAATAACTATAGTATTTATGACTTTCTAACTTAAGGAGTATGATTGGAGTTCAAATTTTATAGAGTTCCTAAAATAACTTTTGTGTGTTTTTAGCTAAATTTTAAATAAAGAATAGGGAGCATGACATTTGCCTACATAATTACTGACTAATTCATTGTGATCGGGTATTTATTATTTCAGTATGTGGTTGTGAAAGTAGATGGGATATTGAATGTTGGTGTTGACATCGGACAAGCTGCTTTAAACAGTGGTTGCAACATTATGTGATTGATAGATAGCATAGCAGTTTTCATCTTTCAACGAAAACAATCAGTTTTTTTTTATAAAAAAAAACCAAAATTTTAATTTGACCCTTATTGTCATTATGGTGGTTTTGCTGCTAGCTAGGTCGCATTTGCATATGACTCTGTTCTTTAAAGAAATTTTATTGGTCATGTACGTAATAAATTTTCAACTATAATTTTTATACTACTTTTTGCAATTTGATATTTTTTATTTTATTTTTGTCATTCGATAGGGAAGGAAATGGGGGAGTATTATATTGGGTTGCCTCAAAATTGTCTTTTACATGAATCGAACTCGGGTGCATTGTCCAAAAATCCTCAAGATTGCCTCAAGATTTTCTTAAAGTAAAAATCATCATCAATTAACATACAAATTACAATTAAATCATCTTTCATTATATAACCAATCAACATGATAATGAAGTAAGGCATTTAGTATGCATAAATTGAAATTTAGATACATACTTGATTTGAATTTGTATTTAAATATGACTATTTGCTTTTGAGTGACATTGATGAATTTTTTTGGTCAATTTTTTGTGTTGAAATCCTTGAAATTGAAAAAAAAAATTATCAAAGGAATAAAAAAGAGAGCGAAAGAGAGATGATTATTACTTACAGAAAATAACGTGGTTGCCTTTTTTATTATTATGATTATTAATTGTTGTTACAAAAAAAAAAACCAAAAAAGAACTAAAACTATGATCTACACAAGCGGGTTTTGAAGTCGCGCCCTGAATAGAAGTTGAGGCCCTGTAAACCAACACAACTAGAAACGTCTTTGTGTCAAAAATTTGCTCACTATATATATATATAAAACATTTGTTAATATATACATATATTATACACATAAAAAAAAAATCTGGGGCCCTAAAAAATTAGGGGCCTTGTGCGATGGCACTACTTGCACACCCTCAGGGCCACCCTTGGGCCGTACAAGGATGTTTATCAAATAAGCTTATTTGAGGGATCCTCAACTAAAGATCCTATATATTTGAGTGAATACGTAGGACAAACATTTAAGAGAACATGTCTTGTTTGCTACCAACACTACAACACAAATATACAGTGAATAATTAGGGGTGGGCATAAAAACCGATAAACCGAACAAATTGACTGAACCAAACCAAACCAAACCAAAAAATAAGGTTTTTTTGACCAAATCGAAAAAGTCAATGCTAGACTTGAACCGAACCGTTGACTTCGGTTCAAGCTTCGAGTCCAAAAAATTTTGAACCGTTGGACCTGACCCAAACCGACTATTATTTAATTATATATGCATTTGACACATGGTGTTGTCTGATTGACTTAAATAAGAACTTTGGGTGGGTCTGCTTGCACTATATCAGAACCTCTCTCAATTATTTATTTATTATTTTTTTAGTAACCCTCTCAGACTCTCACTCCGTATCTCTCTCTCACTCACTCACGAAAAAAATCAAGAGATATTTAGTCAAATACCCATTCTTAGCACTAAAACTATAAATAAACCCTACACCATTTAATTTCTATAAACAAATCCAAAAAAAATCCAAAAAATGACAATTGGCCCTATTGAATTTTATTTTGATTATTAAATTACTTTAATGTCCTATTGAGTATTTTGGGCTTTTTTATATGTTTTGGGGTTGAGTTTGTTTTGAGAAATCAATGACAGTTTTGTAATTTAAAAGAAGTTAAAAACCTTTTAGTTATGTTATAAATGAGCTTTAGGTATGTTTCTAAAGTCCATTTTATATAGGGTATTTTTATAATTTGGGCTCCTATATTGGGTATATTAGTGAATCTCCCAAAAATCAACCCCTACTCTATTTCTCTCCCGATTTGAGACTAACCCTAACCTCATGGGTCGCCGTCTCTATCGCATGCGCTCTCTGTCTCTCTGTCTCTCTCTCGACTCATCTCTATCGTGCTCGCTCTCTCTCACTCTTAGTCACATCTTTAAGTCTCTTAGAGTCGCCAGACTCATTCTCTCTCCAAACCTAACCAAACATCATCCAATTTCATTGGTTTTTGGAGCGAATCCTTGTAAATTCTGGAGGGCTCTGGTTCATTCTAAGGTAAATTTGTATGTATTTGGTTTGAATTCTTAGTTATTTTCATTTTCCCTAATTTAGTAGATTATTAGGGTTTCGAAATTTTGGTATTCTGTTGAAATTAACGCACTTTTTTCTTAATTCTGCAGTTGTTGTGCTTAGTCTTTGTGGGTTTGGATTAATAGGCAAAATTGAAGGTATAAATATTTCTTGGTATTTCTTTAGATGTATGGATCTTGATATTTCTTGTTGTGCTTAGTCTCTGTGGGTTTTAAATCATCAGCTCCACATGGCTTTACTTTAGATGTATGGATTTTTGGTATTTCTTTCTTTATGTGAATATGATCTGACCTTATTCAATTTTAATCTTCTTGTGTTCTGTTTGTTCTGCAGATTGTTGCTTTGCAGCTTTCTGGTAAGCACTCTTATACTATGATATTTTCATGTCAATGATTTCATTGTGATACTCTGTTCAATTTTTCTGTACTCAGTGTTGTGAATTATTTAATTTGTTCTTTGTAACATGATCACAGTGGTCCGTGTGTTTCTTACCTGCTACGAAAACGAGCTCTTTATAATAATATGTCAAGGTAACTAATAACTACATTCATTTCTAGATATTTCTGATCATCAAAACGAAGATTAAGGTTCCTGAATACTAGTTCTGCAATGTACTCTGTTACTTACTACAGGTACAGACGCTGTGCCGGATATATGCCATGCAGTGGAAGGTGTGGAGAACGTCACTGCCCCGAATTGTGTCTTTGCACTGAGGTACCGTATTAATTTCATTGATTTCGATGTGATAAAATTTATGAATAAATTAGCAATGTGGTATTCATCAATTTGAAAGATGAAATTCAGGCTTAGCTTTGCCCTTTTGCACTCTATTACTACATTTTCTTAGACATAGACATACATGGAATTTAGTTTTGTTTATGTTTGGATGCTTTCTTTATTGTTTTCAGGTTTAATTTCTGATTTTTTTAACTGTGTATTTTAGGTTTGATTGTTAGCCTTGAATTTGTTTCAATTTATTTAATTGAGTTGTCTTGAATCTGTATTTTTGGCATGGGAACATGTTTTTGTTTTTGTTTTTGTGTGCATGAATCTGCTTAACTCATTGTTGATTAAATGCATTCATTCATTTATTTGTTTTCTCCATTTTTTTTTCCTTATGTAGCATATCTGTGTTAGTATCTTATTGATGAACGAATGCTAATATTTGGGTTAATTAGTTTTTTTATTGAATAATTATTTATTGATTGATTGACTGGTCCATATTTGTTTTTCAATGGTTTGTAAGATTTGCATTCAAAACCCTAAGGTGGTCTTCTAATCATTTAAGGATAACTAGTTCAATGTCAATTAGGATTACATGGATCGATTAAATTTAAGACTTGATATATATGACTGATTTAAGATAAATACAAGTGCTTAAGGTTTCCTAATTCTAAATGGATTGAGATACCTACTCCTATTGGTTAAAGGAGTTTAAGTAATCCATGATGAGGAGGATACTTAAACTACACCTATAAAAGGGAGGTCCCTATGCTAACGGCAGAATAACGTTCTCATATTATTCTACCCCATCAAGAAGAGACTCAAGAGCCGTATAGCATAGAGATACTGCCCTAATACAAATCTGCCCGAACCAGTCAAGAACACAGCTCCTGCAGAATTCCAGTTTCTTCCCAAGCAAGTAATCAAAGTTCCTGCTGCAGTAATTCTCACAATGTCGAATCAAGGTATGTGTTGTGAATACATAAACCTAGTAAAGTTTACATAATTTTCCTAACTTACTAATTTTTTACCATAAATCCAATATTATCAACATGGAAAATATGAGTAGAGAATCCGCAGTAAATTATATGGAGTTCTGAAGAATTATTGTGAAAATCTCGAAATATGGATAACGGGTTTTTGGTGATGTTAAATGCAGATGTATGATATTGGGAGGAGGGTGGTATGGACAACCAAAGGAGAAGAACAGGAAGCAGCAAAGAAAGAGTTCCTTGAGTGCATTGGATTGTTGGAAGGGGAGCTTGGAGACAAGCCTTACTTTGGGGGTGAGACCCTCGGGTTCGTCGATGTGGCGCTTATTCCGTTCTATAGCTGGTTTTATGTGTATGAGAAATGTGGCAACTTCAGTATAGAGGCAGAGCAGCCAAAGTTTTATGCATGGGCAAAGAGGTGCATGCAGAAGGAGAGTGTGTCCAAGTCTCTTGCTGACCAGAAAGCGATCTATGACTTGTTTCTGCAGCGCATGAAAGCGAGGGGGATTGATCAGTAGATGCATGGGCACTTGAGCTTGTGCTTTTTCTGTGTTTCAAGTTTCAACCTGTGTTTTGTGTTCTTTATATTTGCAATAAGGCGGCACTTGACCAAGCCCGCTACAGTAAATGGGGGAGCTTTGCTGTATATGGTTTTGTAGTCAAATTATCAAATTGTTGTGAACTTTTTATATCAAAGGATTTTGAGCCATTCAAATATCAACAAGCAGCTAAAAAAACATAATTTAGACACACAAAACCAAAGGATCTCTCACTGGAAAAACAAAGCTGAAAGGAAAAAGAAAAAACAGAAGAAACACAGCCTAACATTTGATTGCAGGACCTGCTATGGTGATAATATGCTGGCTAGCAGCCTATTCTATCCTGCTATCCGACCAAGAAGAAACTCATACACCTTCTTAGGGTCGGCCAGAGATTTCGATACGCTCTCCCGGTGCGTGCATCTTTTGGCCCATTCAATCAGCTTGGGGCACTCTGCCTCTGTGCTGAAGTTTCCAAAGGTCTCAAATGCATAAAACCAGCTGTAGAATGTGATGAGAGCAACGTCTAGGAACCCAAACCTCTCACCCCCAAAATAAGGCTTGTCTCCAAGCTCTCCTTCCAACTGCGTAAGGATTTCGATGAATTCCTTCTTGGCTGCTTCATGTTCTTCTCCTTTTGTGCTCCATAGTTTCTTCCCAGCATCAAATACCTACAATTTTCCAAAAATACAAAAAAATAAAAGAAAAGTAGCATCAAGAGAAAATTCCTTCTTGGCTGCTTCATTGTTTCCTTTTTCTTTTTTATAAAAAATTCCACCAAAATAAAAGAAGAAGAATATACACAAAGAAAGTTAGAGCTGTTCTGTATTTTCTCTCAGACAGCAACATGTTGCATATGTTAATTACTACCTTCTTATCAATGAAATCAGCCCAGAATCTGGCACGAGCTCTCTGGTAAGGATCAGAGGGAAGCAGAGGAGCTTTATCCCTCCAAACCTCATCAACATACTGCACAATTATGAGTGACTCACAGACCGGTTTACCGTTGTGGATGAGAACCGGAATCTTCTTGTGAACCGGGTTCATCTGCAGAAGCAGTGAGCTCTTGTTACTCAAGTCCTCCTCTCTGTACTCATACTTGACACCCTTCTCGTCCAGAGCTATCGTTGCCCTCGTCCCATACGTGCTTGTCCAGAACCCCAAAACAACAACCTCCTCGTCCGCCATTGTTGGCACACAAACTTCTTCTTCTTGCAGCTCAGCTTAGCTTCTTGCTAAACTCCAAGACTGACTGATGAACAAGAAAAGAATGCAGCACTTACTTCTACTGCTGAGGCTAATTTAAGTGTAACGTTTTATATATTGACATTTGTTTCAAGATTATCTGTGATGCCGTGGTTGATGTTAATTAACAAATTAATAAAAGTGATTAGTAAGTGCCAGAAATTGTCATTGCTTTCGTCATTTGTGATGTGGGCTCTCTCCCAAAATATTTTATATGAAGAGATAAGAGAACCATGCACTTTGAATATAACTCAAGGTGATGTAGAACACATTTATTAACCACATTGCTAACTACGTGTATTAGAGAAGTCGTCAGCAATAATATTATTTAACTCGAAATGCCTTAGCTAGCATGTTAGGTGATCTTAAAGTAAGTTGACGCTTCAGCACTAAGTGCTAATCACAATTTAAAGCTTCTAATTAAATAAGTTTTATCAATGGTAAAGCCGAAGTCTTGAGCACCCACTTGTTATAAAAGTATTATGTTGAATAAATATCTTCAAGATTGGAGCTGCTGGATTTGCCTCAGAAATTGCTTATGCCGCTGATCACCATGTTTTCATCCTGTGGGAGTTTTTCTTCTGGGCTTTCAAGTGTTTAAAGTATATATATATATATATATATATATATATATATATATATATATATATATATATATATATATATATATATATATATATATATATATATATATATATATATATATATATATATATATATATATATATATATATATATATATATATATATATATATATATATATATATATATATATATATATATATATATATATATATATATATATATATATATATATATATATATATATATATATATATATATATATATATATATATATATATATATATATATATATATATATATATATATATATATATATATATATATATATATATATATATATATATATATATATATATATATATATATATATATATATATATATATATATATATATATATATATATATATATATATATATATATATATATATATATATATATATATATATATATATATATATATATATATATATATATATATATATATATATATATATATATATATATATATATATATATATATATATATATATATATATATATATATATATATATATATATATATATATATATATATATATATATATATATATATATATATATATTATGCAAACGTTAATGTAAACTATAGGACAAGTGGGATATTTTCACACGTACAATATCAAGGTGTCACTGAATGCGTACTCAAAGGGCTAGACTCTTCCGTTGGCAAGAAGCTCCTATTTTTAAGATTGAGAAAAAAAGATATATCTAAAAATGGAAGGAAGAGAGAACTAAAGTAGAGCAAGACACATCGAAGTCTCTTTTATTATTGTTATAATACAAACATACCCTTTTGACATAACATTCAGAAGACACACCAAAGTGTCTAACCAGTAAAAAAAAAGGCCCTGAAAGTAAAGAAAACTAGAATAAAAGCCTATTTTCTTCTTCTATTCCATACCAAACATCTTCTTCATACCAAGAACAAACTCATAGACCTTGTTTTTGTCAGGAAGAGTTTTGGACACACTCTCCTTCTGCATGCACCTCTTGGCCCATGCAATCAACTTGGGGCACTCTGCCTCTATGCTGAAGTTTTCACAGGTCTCAAATGCGTAGAACCAGCTGTAGAATGTGATGAGAGCAATGTCCAAGAACCCAAAACTCTCACCCTCAAAATAAGGCTTGTTTCCAAGCTCTCCTTCCAACTGCCTAAGGACTTCAATAAATTCCTTCTTGCCTGCCTCTTGTTCCTCCCCTTTTGTGGCCCATATTTTCCTCCCAGCATCATATAGCTGCAATTTTAAGAATCATTCCATCAGAAATTGCTAGAGAATTCAATTGGAATTAGTTAAAATGTTTCCAAGCTAATTACCTTCTTATCAATGAAATCAGCCCAGAACCTGGAGCGAGCTCTCAGGTAAGGATAAGAGGGAAGCAGAGGATCTTTGTCCCTCCAAACCTCATCAGTCAAATAATATGGTAGAATATTTTCAGATGTATTTCATTCTCCGAAAGGAGGTATTTATAATACAAGGTTATAAACCCTAGTAGGGTTAAACTGGGAAAACAAGTGGAATCCTAATTACATAATATCTATATAAAAGGAAATAAATAAAATAATATCCTAATAGAATAGGATATCTCTCGCTAACACTCCCCCTCAAGTTGGAGCAAAGACGTCACGCATGCCCAACTTGTCAAGCGAGTTGAGAAAGATACTTGTAGAAACAGCTTTCGTAAGAACATCGGCTAACTGGTACTCAGAACGGATGAACGGAAAGGAAATAATATCCGCATCCAACTTTTCTCTAATGAAATTTCGATCAACTTCCACATGCTTTGTACGATCATGTTGTACAGGGTTATGAGCAATTGCAATCGCAGCCGTATTGTCACAATATAAATCCATGGGTTTCTTAGGCCCAAAACCAAGGTCTCTCAACAATCT